GATCAGAAATTATATCAAGCAGAATTTGCTTTTAACCGCTCAGTTAATCGCAGCACTGGCTTTAGTCCATTTCTTGTCAATTATGGCTACAATCCCCGAGCTCCAATTGATTTAGCCCCTGTTGCTGATTTAAAGAGAGTTCATGGCAAGGCTGAAGATTTGATTTCACAACTCCAAAATGTCCATCGCACAACACAACAGCGCTTGGTGGACGCTACTAGCAAGTATAAACATGATGCTGATAAGAAGCGTCGTTTTATGGAGTTTAATGTTGGAGATTTTGTTTGGGCCATTCTTACCAAAGATCGTTTTCCTGTTGGTGAATATAACAAATTGGCTACTCGCAAAATTGGACCTGTGGAAATTCTTGAAAAGATTAATCCAAATGCTTACAGATTGAAGCTTCCCAGCCATATTCGCACGTCTGATGTGTTCAATGTGAAATATCTTGTTCCTTTCCGTGGCTCCAACTCCGATGATGATTCAAATTCGAGGGCGAATTTTTGTCAACCCAGAGAGGATGATGCAGTGAGTTTAGCAAATACATACATGGACCATTGGGATCACGTTCATGCATGAGGAAAGTCTTAATAACCTATATTAAATAAGTGTCTCTTCGTATGTGGGAGTTATTTAAGTTAATGAATAAAGTTATGGAGAGTCTTTTCATCTTTGTGAGTTATAGGGAGATTTAATGTGAAGTTGTCATTGGGAGGGAAGTTGGGATATGAAAGGTTTATGGGAGTTATGAGGAGTTATCTCATTTTGATTGAGAGACTCTTATAAATAATACATGAATTTGTAAGAAAAGGGCAGTTGATGTTTGTTTATTGAATGAAGATTGAGATTTTTCTTTCATCTCTTTACTCTTTTCCTAGGTATTCTCATAATTAGCAGATTAGAGTTTTAATTTCGGGTATTCTTAGAATCAACGGAGTTAAGTTTGCTCAAAATTATCTTTTGTTCTTGTTCCGTTGCATCAGTTGGTATCAGAGCAGGCTTTTGACCTGCACTCTGAAATCTTGGTGCCCAAAAAAAAAAGAAAAAAAAAGGAAGGAGGTCTAGCTCTATGGCTCCAAGAGGCAGAGGACTCGGTGATAGGTAAAATGTTGAGGATGCAAGGTATGCACGTTTGGAGGAACAAATCCAGCAATTTGAGAAGCGCTTTGACATGATTGTGGAACAAATTGCTACACTAAATATTGAGAACGGTTCTCAAAGTAGTCATGGAGAGGAGGAAGAACGTTGTGAAAGTGAAGAGACTGAAAATCCATTTGGGAATCATAGACAGAGAAGACATGTTCCTCCACGAGATCATGGACGATGGGAGTCGGGTTTCACACTTGAAATTCCATAATTTAAAGGATGTTTGCAACAAGAAGAATTCTTAGATTGGGTTGTTGCAGTTGAAGAAGTTTTGGATTTCAAAGATGTGCCACAAGACAGGCAAGTTCCCTTAGTGGTTATTCGATTTCGAGGCAAAGCGGCTGCGTGGTGGCAGCAACTGAAGCAAACTCGAGTCCGAAAAGGAAAGCAGAAAATTGATTCTTGGGAAAAATTGCTAAAGTATATGCGACCCACCTTCATTCCACACAATTATTCCAGTCAACAACTCCAGAACTTGCACCAAGGTTCTCACTCTGTCGATGAATACACAACAGAGTTTCATCAATTGATTGCCCGTATTAATTTGGGAGAGTCTGAAGATCAGTTGGTATCTCGCTATATTAGAGGTATAAGAATTCAATTATTCCAGTCAACACTTGCTTGTAGTCTCCTATTCCTCGACGGAGCTATCTCTGTCAGTGCCTCTACAGGTGTTGGTCAATCAATTCTCTGACAGCCACAACTTTTGGATAATCAGGCCCCAATCTCAAATATGGAGGCACAGTCAAGAATGCAGCAAAAATATAATTGCATCCCAAAATCATACAACATTCACTATACTTTAAAACATTCTTTTCGCTAAGCGTATATCATAAAATAGAGTGAAAGGGTCCACCCTGAAACCAAGGGGGTTCTAACTAATAGATGAGTCCTCTCAAAACTGCAGGAGATAGTTGCGCATCATATGACTCACTAACTTCACTTGCCTCTATACTCACTCCAAGCGGGTTTAATGCATCAACTGAAATTGCTAGTGCAATATAGTATTCGATAATGTAACTTCTTCAAATCTATATTTCCCACGGATCCATGCCATTCTTCTTAGTATACCTGACAAATCGGGAGGTGTAGCTGCAATAGCACCAGTTTTTATGTCTGTTGGCTTTACCTTTCTTTAAAAGACTTTTCAGAAATCTAGTTGGTCCAACCAAGAAAGATGGGAGTCTTTGGGCGTATGAACTTCCTCAAAGTATTTAAACGACTATAGCAGAAAGGATGGGCGAAATCATTTGGTTCTAAAACATGCAGTCTATGCTCTAATACCACATGTAAACCATAGTGACTGCATATAATAGAACACTTGTCTTTTGGTCTTCCAAGAGAGCTGTCAAAATATCAAGTATGTACAAGTATTCTTCTCCTTAATATGATCCCTTATGCACTGATTCTAAATGGAGTGAATCCTTTAGTGTAGGTTGGGGTTGATCGTTTGAGCAGGGGCACTTGTATTTATATGCATCTACCTAAGGTCCCGTTTGGTTCATGGAATAAATTTGAGGGAAAATTATTTCCTATGTCATTTTTCAAGAGATGGGAAATGGAAGATTCCTTTCCCACATTTGGTAATGTTGGGAAAGTAACCAGGAGACAACACTTTATTTCCTTTCCCATGTTTGTTTTGAGTAGGAATGGAAAACAAAGTTTGTATAAATTTTCAATTATACCCATATTAAATTAAATAAATTAAGAATGCATTTAATGATATATTGTAATTCTAAATTGTAATGGGGACAAAATTTTCATGAAAAATTTGTATTTAATGTTAGTTCATTTCCCCAAACTTTCCCATGAGAAGAGAAAACAAAACCCAAGTTGGGAGGATGACTTTACTTTCCCCCCTACTTTCCCATGGGCTAGGCAATGATTTCTCATGCCTAGACTTACCAAATATGGGAAAATAATTGATTTTCCATCCCCAAGTCTCCTTTCCCATGAACCAAACGGTCCGTAAGAGTCTATCCCATCAAGAAACTCTTAAGCAGACCTTATTACATTAGAAGAATAATACCCTAATCCACATTAAATAAGGAACCCTTTTAGTCTTGGTATTACACTAATAACACACTTAGACAAAGACTAAAAGACTAGGCTACAGCTAAGTACCTAATCAACATAAAGTACCAATCTTTATTTGATTAGAAGACCACATTAAGTGGTTCGAGACAATATAACGTCTTATATATCTTTCTCACATAATTGAAAAAGAAAGTCTTTTATAATAATAGTAAAGATTTTATTTGACAAGATTAGTTAAAGGGAGCTTATGAAGCCGCGATAATGTAATTGAAACCACCCCATAAGCCTTAGAGATTTTGGTTCCAATTTGTATGTTAAAAGAAATAGGTGAAACCAACCTTGCCAATTTGCTCAAAAAGGTAAATTAATTTAACTTTTGTGCTTAAATTTACCAAGAAAATAAAGTAAAATGAAAGAACAAGGCATAAATTTCGTGCAAGTATTTCTAATATAAAATCTCAAATCTCAAATTCTGAATCCTATTTAAAGGAATGACATGTTAAACACCAACAAAAATATCCGTACTCAAGGACTGGTGGGGTATATGTTCTACCAAATTATATTATATAAAATATTTATTTTGTCATGAAACAAGGTGGTTGGCAGGTTGCCATATGCACTTACTTTAATTAAGTTTTACTTTTTTTCTGTACAATACTTTAATTAAATTATTACTTGACTCGATTAACAAAAAGTTACTTTAATTAAAAATATAGGGAGCTTTTACTTGTAGTACTCCGTTTAAAAAAAAAAAAAAAAAACTCTTTAAGATAACAGAATACCCCAAATAGAAAAAATGTTTATTTGAAAAGTGTGATCTCACTGCAAATCTAAAGGTCTTTGTATTTTTTGGTTGCTCAGTCTATTTCAAAAGTCGAGTACTACCAAAGGAATATGTGCTTCGTAAGAAGGAGGGTGATTTGTCATGCATCCACACTATCAAGGTGTCATCAGGGTTCGAATTTAAGACCACTTGTTTGCAAGTAAAAATTCTTTTTTACTAGTCTAGATCATGTTGACACCGAAAATATAAACTTATTAGAGAGATACTCATATCCTTTGGTAAGGCTTATGTTGTTTGCAAAAACATATATAATACTGCTGGATAAGCATGAATAACACCACTCTAAAATGCAAGGTGATCGTGAATCACGTTGTCATGCTTTAGTTGTAATCGGTCGTATTCATTTGTATACACTTGATAATAAAGAATTGCTAGAAAAATGTTTATGTTGTTGGACAATAAATTTAAAACAATCATGTAGAGAAAAATCAACCCGATGAATAATTTAAATGTTATTCAAATTCACAGTCTGACTTTCAAAAAGAAGTAGTAATGTTGTCCAACAATTCTAGTGAAGTAACATTTCTCACTAGCAAATAGCATATAACTACAAACCGTAAAACTCCAATGCCAAAAAAGGAACAAAAATGAGAAGAACAAAAATGAGTATCTATAAAGTTCTTTATGTTTTCCACATTGGGTCAAGAAAATCGCACGTACTTTTTTGGTCCGAACATGTAGCACATTAGGCATTTATTTAAACTACAATATATTTAAATCTAAATCAAGCAAGAATTGGTGGGAGTGGGACACGAAGAAGATTCAAAGATTGGAAAAACAATTAAGAAATCAAGCTCAACCATGAAAGACACTGCTTCTCAGAAACTTCCTTGTGTGTATAATAAGTCGTTTGTCTTAAAACTCTACGCCGGGTGCCGGCATCCAACGCCATCTCCCCAACTCTTGACTCTTCACCTTTCTTCTTCTTCTTCTGCAGAAGGACATCGCATTGAACTCTCTTCATTCAAATCGGAGCTACCCAAGTAGCCCAACCGTTTGAAGCGGGCCAGGACAGGACAGGACAGGACAGGACAGGACCCAAAACTGGTGGTGGGCTCCCCTTCTCACTCTCTGAAAGGGGCTAAGGCTGAGGAGAAGTTGATCCATTTGATAAAATCCAATTTATTTTGCTTCTAGGTTTGAGGTATTTAATTGATTTCAATTGATCCCCGTTTTGTTTGATTGTGTTGTGTTTGTTACTAAAAGTGAGCTCTTTTAAAGTGAATAGGTGTAATTGGAATCTGTAAGTTGCTTTCATGCATTCCATGCCATCTGTTCTGCAACTTCATTTATTTCAACTTTCAAAAACTGGTTTGTTTCAATATTACTGAGCTATATTTGATATGTGAAAGAAGTGAAGAAAACTGGTTTGTTTCAATACACTCGTTTAGTATAAGATTGCATTCCATAGCTCTAAAAAGATGAACAAGAGAAAAGAAAAATGAAGATCTAATCAGGACTTTGCGCAAAAACCAATAAAGTTTCTTCCTTTGGGTCACCATACATTTACTATTTATTTCTAAGTTTGTTTATTTCATGTGCATTATTCTGCTGCTTGCAAACATTAATATGAGTGATTGCTATTACATGGTCTAAGTTACTTTATCAAATGGGTAAATGCATCTTATGTTTTTGTGAGCAGGGTCCTGCTTTGGTGTAATTTCATTTCTGTGTTGTGGTTCCTTCTGAATCGGTTGGTAATCTGTACTTGCAGATGGTTTCCATAGATGAAAAGACAGACCTTGAATATGATGAAGAGATCCCATTTAGCTCGTCATCAGCCACCGGTAAAATGGAGGCCTTGGATTTTGAGATGATCCATTTGCATTCCCGGGCAGAATTGGCAAACTCATGGATTTCAAGACATATACGGATGAGAGTTCCGAAGAGTATCTACTTTGTCTTGATCAAAGCAAAAATCAACGTATTGCTACCGTTTGGTCCGTTAGCGATTTTGCTACATTACCTTACTGGACAGCATGTATGGTTCACATCTCTCTATCATTTTTATGACCGTTTCTTTAAGTTTGGAGAAGAATGTAGTGAGACTTAGGAAGTAGGAAAGTATCGAAGAAAAATTGTCTTGAAATTGTTTTGCAGCAAGTGATCGAGATTAGTGGTTTGCTTGTGTTCTTTTGCATTTTCGATTAAAACTTGAAATAATAACCTTGTGATGTAGCCTTATCATATGTGGCAAGGTGTTCAAACATAGTTTCTCTTAGACACATTGTTCAAGATTCAATAATTTAAATTGACATCACCCCAAATCCATTGACAGTTGCTTTGTATACGTTAGGGATGGGTTTTCTTCTTCAGCTTAGTGGGCATTGTGCCTTTGGCAGAGCGTCTAGGATATGCGACTGAGTAAGTTCTGGTTTGTGAAATTAAATATAGCATTAAATTTTCCTAACTTTGTCTAAGGCTAAGTCTTGCCTTGCCAATTATTGTGCTGCAGGCAACTTGCTTTCTACACAGGACCAACAGGTATGATTATAATTTTTACCATGCCAACTGATGGTAGCCTAAATGTTTTTTGCGTTTTCATGAATTTTTGTTGTGATATACATATTTCTAACTGAAATACGATTTCGGAGAATCTTTGTCTGAATATATAACTATATTTTTGAAGGTTCCTGTCTTAGTTTAGACTCCTGGCTCTTCCACTGCTATATAATAATGTTCCCTTAACAAATTATCTAACACAAAATTTTGCTAGGTTGTCAATTGGGTCTTTACCTACTTTCTAGTTTATCACTATGTACGTGTTCTGGTTCAGTGGTTTATGTGAAGTGGATTGTTTTCGTACACGACTTTGATCATACCAATGAGTGTAATAAAGTTTGTGCCACTGGTTGATTAGATTGTCTGCTTACAAGTGTGTCTACTGTACATTCCTTAAGATTTTTAGTTGCTAGAAAAAGAGTGATTCAGATAATTAAAGGTTATCACAGTTTCCCAGTGCCAGATAACCTGATGTACTGTTCATTATGGAAATGGATAGGTAGTTCCTCTTGTTTTCAAATGGAACCTACTTACTGATTCAAAGTATCTTATACCTTTATGTAACCTTTTCTTGTTTTCTCTCAAGTGGGCTGGTTTTTGTTGGATTGCAGTTGGAGGTCTTTTAAATGCCACATTTGGAAATGCAACGGAAATGATTATATCAATTTATGCATTAAAGAATGGAATGATTAGGGTTGTTCAGCAATCTTTATTGGGATCAATCTTGTCCAACATGCTTTTAGTGCTCGGATGTGCCTTCTTCACTGGTGGAATCGTTCATTACCAGAAAGTTCAGGTTTTCAACAAGGTAGATCTTCAAATTTTGTTGAACCTTGTACCCTGAATTTTTTTTAGTGTGGGTTCTTTGACATTCTTTCATCTTGATGTCATGAATTTACATCCAAATGTGGTTACTTTTGCAACAGTCTGCCGCCGTTGTGAATTCAGGATTGCTGTTGATGGCTGTCATGGGGTTAACATTTCCAGCTGTGCTTCATTTTACACACTCAGAGGTCCATTTCGGGAAGTCAGAGTTATCTCTTTCAAGATTTAGCAGCTGTGTAATGCTAGTGGCATATGCGAGCTACCTTTTCTTTCAACTTAGAAGTCATCGTAATCTTTATAGTCCTATTGAGGAGGTTAGTTAGGTTTGCTCAATTGTCTTAAGGGATCTAGAATGTCATTTTCTTTCTATTTTGAACATTGTGCATTAGTTGTTCTTCATCCTTTGTTAGTTGTTTGTTTTTTTTAAACTATGGAACTAAAATGATGATTTCGTTACATTTTCTGAACCTTGTATGATCTTCAGATTCTATAGGTGCTTTAGTCAATTGGTTTTTATTTTAAAAAAATTTCAAAGTTAAGGGGTTTATTTCCTTCTTAAATTTATTATGATTTTATTATCCATAAAGAAGAGTGATTAGTAGTTCTTTTAAGTATCTATTGAAACCCGAAAGTTAATACATGGAATGGTTCTTGGGAACATTTTCTGACTTAAACTGCTTTTAGTTGTTTAATTATCCTCTATTTTGCAATTGTATCAGGAAGGAAACCAGGGTGGAGATGATTCTGATGAAGAGGAGGCTCCTGAGATAACTCACTGGGAAGCAATTGGCTGGCTTGCTATTTTAACTGTGTGGGTGTCCATTTTGTCTGGATACCTTGTTGATGCTATCCAGGTAACACCTGCTTGATATCCTTGCCCAGTGCTCTGGATGCATATTTTCTGAGCTGATATTCTGCTGACCCTTTGCACTTTGTGTATGTTGTCAAAGAAATGCATACTACTAACTACTTGGTTTTCCAGTTATGAATGAGAAACATTTGGTCTTCACTTAAAAATTATCATTTAACACTATTATATTATTATATCCAATTCATGTCCTACAAAATATCATAAATTTCAAAAGCCCATCAAGTCACTCTGTCAGTAGATGGCCCTTCTCTTGGTCAACAATTTTAAGTTCTCAAATCCAATTCCGTTCCACTTGTAAGGAGGAAGGCTGTGACAGATCAGTCCAAGTGTATAGCTGTGGCTTCATGTTCCAAATTGACCAATTTAACCATCTCGTAGTGGTAGAAGAAATCCAGCAGATGCTAATGGCAACTAAGATTCTAGATGTTGTGTAACTATGAGATTATAGAACTAGTTTTCCTTGACTTCCCAAAGATGCGCCCAGCCTCAACTTTGCCAGATGAAAAACATATTCATCAAATTTAGTTGATATTTTCTTCTAAATAATGAGATGACCATTCTAACCATATTATCACCCTGCAACCAAAGTCCCTGTTTCCTGAAACCAAAGAGTCGCTTCAAAGTTCTAACCCTTCAAGAGCTTTTTAATAATCAAACCCTTGATTCATGACTCCAATAAATTAGAACTTTTAACCGACCTTCTCTCCCCTAAATTTTCCTTGCATCATGATGAAGTATAGGTGGCTTGTTCAACCTTCCATTTCTGTATAACCATAACTTTGAAGCAAAATTTCTTGTCCTATTTCAATTTGTTACCAAGCTCTATATCCTATGCCGAAATGCCTTTTTCTGTATTTGATTGTGAAGCACATTTTTTTATATTCTTGGTTTACTGGTAATTTGGCCATAGTTTTGGGTAACTATTTGATAACTTAACATATTTACTGTTTCTCCAGGGGGCATCTGACTCATTCAACATGCCTGTGGCATTTATCAGTGTTATACTGCTCCCAATTGTAGGAAATGCTGCAGAGCATGCAAGTGCTATCATGTTTGCCATGAAGGACAAGCTTGTTAGTGCTTTCAAGATTTGTAAACCTCATTTTATAGATTTCATTTATTTTGTTGATGAAATTAATCTTTCTACAGGACATCACACTTGGAGTTGCTATTGGATCTTCTACACAAATATCCATGTTTGTGGTAAGGACTTGACAATTGACTAGCTAGCTAATGAGTTCTCACTGCAGATTCTATGAACCATCACAAACCTCTGTTTGACTTGCTTGTTATAGTTTCTCTTGAGTTGATTACATTCCTTAAACAGGATTACATTTCAAAACAGGAACTAGGAAGCTAATAATTTTTGTGCTCTTGACAATTGTAGATTCCCTTCTGTGTAGTTGTTGGATGGATTATGGGACAGCGAATGGACTTGAATTTTCAACTCTTTGAGACTGCTACACTTTTTATTACAGTGTTAGTAGTGGCATTTATGTTGCAGGTTTGTGATTTTTTTCTTGTTTGTCTTCCTTTTAGCCATGAAGATTTCTCTAGTTTTAACATTTAACGTATTTTTGCCCCCTTAGAATTCCAGGAAATATTCTAAAATTGAGGAAAAAAAGGAAAGTTATATGTAAAACGATTACTTATAAACTAAAATCATCCAACTTGGAGGCTTCTAATGACATCATCCAAGATGAATTGTGCTACATAAACTAAAATCAGGGAATTATTTTCTGTCTCTCTTGGGAAAACTGCAAAGTTGTGTGTCATGCTTTTTTATTTTATTTTATTTTTAATTGTACAGTATGACAAGTTGATTTGCTGATGGATTTAGACATTTCTTATCACCTAGTTGCAGTTTTTTTTTTCTTGTTCATTATTGCCTGATATAAGATTCATTGCCTTTATCTTTGTAGGAAGGGACATCAAACTATTTTAAAGGCTTGATGCTTATTCTGTGCTATCTCATAGTTGCAGCCAGTTTCTTTGTACATGTCGATCCTTCAGACGGTGAGTCACAAAGAACTTATTATATTTTTTCAAGAGAAAACAAACGTGGATATCTTTGTATGCAAGGGCATATTCAGGCCTCGAAAATATGAATCTCTTTGTTGTTTCATTTTCTGCACATGATCCCTCAAGTTTCAACTGTGTCAAAATCAACACATTAATTACTTTTACAGAGTTGATATTCTACTAAAATAACAAATTAAACTTGGTCTTAGTTATTTGTTTGTTGGGTTTTGTTGCAGATGATGATTAAACTAACCATTGGAATGGTGGCCATACATGTAAGAATCTATCTATCTATCTATCTATCCATCTATAGGAGATATACAGGAAGCTACGCTTCCGCAGCCTTCTCAAGCCTGTGATATGCATTTTATTTGCTTTATTTTTGTTGATCATAGAACGGAAAATCCAAATGATCCCCCAAGCATCAAAAGTCTGCAAACTTCCTCAGCTTTGTATAATATAGTATGATTCTCTTCAGAAGCATGGACACTCCGTTTTGCAATGGTTTTCGACAAAATGACACGCCTCACCTTCGAATCAAAATTTTGTTCTTCGATCTTTGTTCACTTAGGTTGTGCTCTCTCAATAATGTTTGGCCAATGCCGTATTTTAATTTCAAGATATTTCAAAACGATTAATGTATCTGTTCATCTTGATTATTATGATTTATTTATTTATAAGTATCTATTTACATTACTTTGAGCCATTTGAAATTTTAAAAAGAAAATATATGTAGGTTTATATTAAAATTCGTAATTCAATACCTAAAATACCAGGAATTAGGTTGATTAGTATGAGTAGTTGATTCAATTCCAATTCCTCGTCTGAATTATCGTGTCTCTAATAAATACCAAGAACATGTAAAAGTGTAAAAAACGTAAATTATGTAAAAGACTTAACAAAGTCAATAACTAATAACAATTACTTATACTATTATACGAAATTTGCCACTACCACCAAACCAAAGTCAAACAAAAACACTAGTTAGAAACAAGAAGATAAACTCTAGCAACTTCTAGTTGACCTAAAAAAAAAAAAAGAAAGGAAAGTTCAACAAGTTCTTTTCTACATGATAGCGCAGGCATTTGGATTTTCATCATTAAACAGACTACAATAAGGATCCATTGCATGCTCTTGCTGTGATGGCAGTTCATTCAGGTATTGCCCTTGGAGATTAGGGATGCCGTACCCAATCATCCCTTGTGCTGCTGGACCCACTGGATAGTTGCCCATGACGCCCATCTGGACCATCTGGCCCACCTGACCCTTTTGATGCTTACCCCCTCCACCGTTGCCTTTACCTTTGATCTCCTTCCCTTTGTTGCTCGCTTTGCCACTCTTGGCCACTTTGCCTTTGTTTTCATCTTTGCCACTTTTGGCCTCTTTGCCTTTGTTTTCATCACCACCAGTCACAATGCCACCATCTCTTCTACTTGTACTTCTTCTGCCAAGCCAATTTTTCCATCCTATTTTTTCTTTACCTTTTTTACTATCATTCCCTCCCATGCTTACCTTGGGCATCTCAACACCATCATGAAGCTGACTGGCCATTCTTCTTCTTTGTGTATGTGAGAGAGAGAGAGTGAGAGAGAGAGAGATTGATCGAGTGAATGTGGTAATTGAGACAGTTTAACAATCACACCTCAAACACATGTTTATATAGTAAAACACAATTGATAACCCCATTTGAAAACAGGAAATATATCTTGTTTTCTTTGGAGAAACAGGAATGCTAATTGAAGAAGCAAGAAGAAAAGAAAGAAAAAGGGAAACCAAGATTTACAAGATTTGTGAAAAAAAAAAAAAGGAAAGGGAGAGGCTAAACCCATGATTTTACTTTATAACTTTTACAACTGGTACACCTCACCGCCCTACTTGCCGATTATTGGAGTAAAAAAAATACACATTTATAAATAAACTCAATCCTAGACATGTATTTATAAAAAAACCCAAACACTATTTAAACATAGAATCAACCCAAAATAAACAATTGTATATTTTTTGGGTGTGTTTATAAATGGGTTTTGAGTGTGTGTAATGATGGGTTTTGGGTGTGTTTATAAAGTGTTTTGGATGGTGGATTTTTTTATAATTTCAGCCTCCATTTTGGGTGTTTTAGTGAAACTCCCGACAATCTCTTTGTCTTCTACTGCAAATTCACTTCCGTTCTTTCCTTTTATTTTTTGGGTCTAAATAATGTACTTGCTAAAATATAAAGATTGAAGTGGTTAAGAGCATTCGATTCTCCCTTTTCTCAATATCGCTTTCGTGAAAGAAAAAAAAAAATCAAATTTACCAAATCAATTTAATTGAAGCAACCAAAGCATTGTGTATTGAGAGCTGTAACCTTTTCTTTTCACTTTTGCTATGGTTTTTCCCGAATACGACAGTCTGCCTCCAAATCAAAGTTTATTTCCTTGATGTTAGGTCCACCCCATTCATTTAATTTTGTTTCTTTCATCCTAATGTGTCTATTTTGATATATTTCAAAACATTAATTTATGTAACAAATTGGATGCCTGGAGTTTTCAAGTTTGCTTTCAGAATGAATTTTCAAAAGCCATAATTTGCAGTTCAACACAAATTTTAAATTGTAGATAATCACTTCCCCCTCAATCATAAAATGGAAAGAAACTTTGAAGTTAACTAAAAACCCAATTCCCTTCTCTACCTCCTTCTACTGGCTTTGCAATATTATGGCTTCTGCTTTTGTGGTACTTTTGGTTTTGCAACTTTTGCAGCAAGTCAATGCAAAGCATAGTTATGAAGCAGAAGGTGGATCATGCAAGATGTGATTTGTTCGAAGGAAGATGGGTTTTTGATGATTTACATCCTCTATACGATTCAACTCACTGCCCCTTCATTGAGAATATTTTCAACTGCCAAAAGAATGGTCGACCTGACAAACTTTACCAGCAATATAGATGGCAGCCATCTGCATGTAACTTACCAAGGTACCTCTAATTAATTTGCTCCAAAGATATTTGGTTAAAAACTTATGAGGATATATAGTTGAAAACCAATTCTTTGTTCTTGTAGATTCAGTGCCGAAGATTTCTTACAAAGATTCAAAGATAAACGCATAATGTTTATTGGAGATTCACTGAGTTTGAATCAATGGCAGTCACTTGCATGCATGCTTCACACAGCCATGCCACACTCTGAGTTCAACATAGAGATGCCACCCCTCAAGTACACCACTGAGAGGACCCTTTCCACATTCACATTTCCGGTAAGATTGGCTTTCTCCATTCACTTGGCTCTACGTCACGCCCTATCTTGAGCATTAACCTAAAACTTGGATTAGACTAATTCTTGAATTGGGGCGTGACAGTTAAGGCATATCGTATCCCAATATTATTCAATAATTATTAACCTCAATGCATAATGCACATCTTGTCTTCTATGATGAAGCAATACAATGTTTCGGTGATGTTTGCGCGCAATGCATTTCTTGTTGATATTGAAAAAGAGGGTTCTTGGCAAGTTTTGAAACTCAACTCAGTCAAGGACACCAAAGTATGGGAGGGAATGGATGTTTTGATTTTCAATACATGGCATTGGTTTGTTCACACCGGGAACATACAACCGTATGTAGTCTTCACCAACTCCTCAATATTTGCTTCATAACTTTCTTTGTTTCCCTTCCAATTAGGGTACCAAAAATGCATGCATAATGCATTGTTGGCTATCTATGAATATGTTTACTTTGTTTAATTTGTTATAGATGGGATTTCATCCAAGATGGAGAAAATACATACAGAGACATGAATCGCTACGTTGCCTTCGAGCAGGCTTTGGAAACATGGGCTCGATGGGTGGATGAGAACATGGATCCCTCCAAAACCAAGGTCTTTTTCCAAGGAATTTCACCCACTCATTTCAAGTAAGTTATGCAGAGCTCATTCGGAATTAGAATGATTTCAATATATATGTCAATGTCTCATGTGTAAAGCGTTGCTTTTTATGTTTTCGTAGAAGATGTATGACAATTTATTTTTCTCACCACGGTGTATTTGAAGTGGGCTATATTAGCCCGACCTCTTAATAAAGGCCCACATCATACCTTACATAGCCCAAAGCCATCTTGGAGCACCCAATAACCTATTACATTAGAGTACTTAGCATTTTCGCACGCACTTCTGCGAGGGCCTTTTTTTTAAAAAAAAAATTAAATTTATTTTAGAATTAAAAAAGATAATGAGTAGTTATGTTCTATAAAAATTGGATCAATTATCTGATTTTTCTTTTAATTTCTATAAAGATAATGAGAGGCTTTTTTTTTTAATCACGCGCGCTACGAGCGACTTACAAAGTTTCGTAAATATTTTTTCGCAATTGTATTTATATAGATGTCCGTTTCAACAGTTTCATATTTTAATCGCTTGCATGTGATATATCGTCATTTTAAATGTTTTCCTTTGTCCACTATATTTTTCTAGACGTCCATCTTAGCAGATTACACTCTATATTGTGCATGTCCTATTTTTATAGAACACAACTGCCAATTATATTTTTTAATTTTAAAATAAATTTAAATTAAAAAAAAAATCCTCTTGCATGCGCGGAAGCGCGTGCAGAGGCTAGTATATATAAATTTAGAATATCTCATTGTAAAAAAAAAAAAAAGAACAACAACAACAACAACAACAAAAACTTTAACACATGCATACTATGCTATCACATGAGTCATTAGTAATACCATGTGGGGATCACCGTCACACCATAAAATTAATCCAATTTTTGATTATCAACTAATATGGGATATACAGATGTGAATTAGACTAATTGACGGGCGTGCCCTTACCCTTTCCCCAAGTTCTAATCCCTCTCAAAATTGGTCACCATTTAGTCACATGGCTTCTGGATTGTATCATTCATCATTGGGGGGCATTAACTAAATGAAAATTGGTCATCAATCACATGACATTGTAACTAACTGTATTGTATATCGTCATTCAGTATTGACACCTAGCAGAAATTGAAGTTTTTCTCCTCTAATAATACTCCCAACTTCAATACCAATTGAAGTGGCAAATGACATGACGCAAAACTTGTCGTTCAAACTTTTGTGTGCGTAGAATTGGCATTAAAAATTGTTACACTGCTCCTATAAGAATACCATTTTTATCATGTTTTACTGGGACAACTTAAAGATTTATAAAAGAAATGTTGAAATTTTTAAAAGAAAAAGGTCACACACAAAGAACATTTGAAAAACCTAATCACAATTTTTTCTTGTTGTACAGTAAAGATTTCCCACCTTCATTAAAATCAAAGATAGAATAGAGATTCCAATGCACAATATGTAAAGTGTGTCAAGCCAAAGCTATCAGCCTATCACATTAGCTATGAATCCATGACCCTTCCACAACATATATAGCCTTCTCATCAAGTTATTGACCCTCCATGAATTCACCTAAATTATTTATCTCTGAAAAAAAAAAATGTGGGAGGTGCTGATGACAGTTTTAAAACTTCCCCCAACCCCCACTCATACACGATTGAAACTTTTCTGCCAACCTCTCCATTGATATCCATTCATTCATAACGAGTGACTGCAACTTGAATTGAATTCTTTACTTCTCATTTCTTTCCCACAACTTAAAATATAGGAAAACTCTCCCATCAACTACACCATCTACCTCTTAATAAACCCACCAATCTTTTTCTTTACCAATTTCTTTTTTTCTTTTATTTAAATATCCACACCACTCAAGCTTGAAAAATCCAAACCAACTCGATCGATCTAATTTCATTAATTCTTGCATATGGGTGCACTGGGTTTGGGGATTGCCTTTGCACTTCTGGTGCTGCTACCAAGTTTAGAACACCAAGTGCATGGGAAGCAAAGCAATTATGAGTTGAAGAAGTGTGATATTTACCAAGGAAGATGGGTTTACGATGCTTCTTACCCTCTTTATGATTCCAGCCTCTGCAGCTTCATAGAGAATGCCTTCGCTTGCCAGAAGAATGGTCGAGCCGACGAACTCTATCTCAAATATAAATGGCAACCCTTTGCATGCAAGTTACCTAGGTACGTAATTTCTTTTAGGTCAAAGGGAAATTATAGTTTTGAACTCAGAGTTTAAGTGTGGGGATAAATGCTCACTAATATACGGGAGCTACAAGCCCTACCTAAAGTATGCTCTTTTGTTATATTTTTTTTCCCCTAACTAATCTTTGTTTTATAGTACAAAGAAGGGGGCTTGATTACAATTTTAATCCTCTTAAAATATTTACCAAAAAAAGAAGAAAGAAAGAAACTTTAGTGCCTCAATTTCTCATATTCTTATAAATTTGGGCTCAAATTCTTGGTATTGCCTTCATATATCTTATTCCAAGTTCTCTTTTCATGAATGACAAAATTCATTAAACTAACTTATTGAATAGGTTTGATGCGGAAGATTTCTTGGAGAGATTTAGAGATAAACGCATCATGTTTGTTGGAGACTCATTAAGTTTGAATCAATGGCAATCATTCACATGTATGCTACATGCAGCCTCGTCTGAATCTGAGTATAACTTTGAGAGAATAGGATCAACCTCTACATTCACATTCCAGGTATTCTACATGGGTAGCGATGTTCATATTTCTCTTCTAATTATCTGCACTCCAAACTGAATATTTTACAATTTTTTATGCGCCCAGAACAATGTAGGAAGCGAAAAGATGAGTGTTCAAAACCACTAGCCTTCTTTATATTCATTTTAATTGAGTATCCTCTATATACATGTGCAGAGTCACAATGTTTCTTTGATGCTTCAACGCAATGCCTTTCTTGTTGACATTGCACACAATAAATATGGGAGGGTTTTGAAGCTCAACTCGATCGACCACAAGGATGGCCTAGCCTGGAAGGAATTTGATGTATTGATCTTCAACACATGGCACTGGTGGCTCCACACGGGAAGAAAACAACCGTGAGATAAATAATTGAATTGTTTATAGTTTTCATGCTAGATTATTTTATATAACTTTAGTAGTAGATCATTTATTTTGTCGTAATTAATCAAATTGAATTTGGTTGGTTGTGTAAATGTATGCATGGCAGGTGGGAATTTATTCAAGATGGAAACACTTTACGTCAAGACATGGATCGCTTTGTTGCCTATGAGAAAGCCTTAAGAACTTGGGCCCGGTGGGTGGACAAAAATGTTGATCCTACTAAAACCAAAGTCTTCTTCCAAAGCATTTCACCCACTCATTGGAAGTAAGTTCACAAATATAATGTTGAGCCTTAGTCTCATAAATTGGTTAATATACGTATCTACTCTTGTTTTAGTTCAACGGTACAACTTTTGAGATATAGAAGAGGATAACCCTCCCTTCTTTTAAAAGGGTATCAAATTCAGTCACGTATATAAAATCGAAATTCAAAACCTCATTCAACAAAATAATAATTAAATATCACTAAGAGCATGTCTAATGGGACTGATCTTGCCTAGGTAATTAGGTCTAGATTTGGTCTCAAATGAAAAAAAATTCACTTTCTAATGCATGTGTTTGGCCTAGTTCAGTTTAGCCTAAGACAAGATGAGAGGCTGGTATTGTCCACCTGTTGGCTCGGGCAAGATAAGGGACCCATTGCCAATTTTTGAAAAGAAAAAAAGGAGCAACAAAAGCTGACTCAAACAACTATTGAGGAGTTGCCACATGGCGCTCTCAAATGCAACAGCCCAACGGCTAGTTGCCGGCCCTCTTTTTTTTACCTCATAACTCTATAAAACCTAACCATTTGTTCATCTCTCAATTACTCCAAACATTTCTACTTGTCTGTCTTTTTTCATTTTGCTCAAAATTGTTGTTCCAAAGTATTGCTCAAAATTGTTTCCAAAAATAAATTTTTGTGTTGCTTTTCTTATGCTTTGATTTTTATCACAAATAAAAATAAAAATAAATTAAAATAACAAGTTTCGAGTTTTAGCCCTAGCCTCTCATCACCACTAGAACCACAAAATTTGAGAGGCTAGATTTTATGAATAGTAGCATTTTGAGGGACTAAAACAGCACCTAGCCCCTTTCCCCTTGCAGTAGACATGCTCTAACTAAACCAAATGATTATTGACGGCCCAAAAATATATCTATGGAGTCTCTCCATCTATTGGAGTACCAAGTAAGTGACAAGATCAAATTAAGACTATTTGAAATGTTATGTTAACTTGCATGTTTGTTGGTTGTTTAAAATTGTTACTTAAAATTAAAGATGATCATGTTGTGAAAATCAGTGCAAGTTTTTGGGGAAACCCAGATGGGAGGAACTGCACAGCAGAGACAAGGCCACTGGCAGAGCCACCGTACCCAAGAAGTCCACACCCAGCACAGGTGATTGTGGAGAAAGTTTTGAGAGGCATGTCAAAGCCAGTCAACTTGCTTAATGTGACAGCTCTGTCACGGCTAAGAAAAGACGGTCACCCTTCTATATATGGCAATGAAGGCCATCGTGGCATGGATTGTAGCCACTGGTGTCTTCCTGGAGTTCCTGACACTTGGAACCAGCTCCTCTACACTGAGCTCATTCGAAACTGAAATATTATTTAATTACTTTGGGGATAATTATAAGCTGTTTTTGCCTGATAAACAAAAAATATCATGTCAAATTTGGTTATTGTTACAATGAATATATAGTCTTTCTTTTATTTCAGTTTTATTGCTTTGGATTTTATATGTATGTCTCTTCTTTTGTTTTTTTTGGAAGATAAAGAAGAAAATAAACCTCAAAACAAGATACATAGTGGTTTGGCTTTGAGACGGTTATGTGATTCTGCCTCACCAATAATTAAGAAAGTTCTTAATTATTTGATCAAATAAAAGGATAATCCAGACTCATAAGAACAAGTAAAATAAAAGAAAATGGGCCGCAACTACCATATCATGGACAAGGGAAAT